TTTATTTTCTTGTTTTATCACATGTGGTAGGACCCCTAAAACAGTGTTAACTAACAATAGTGATATCAGCATGCTTATTTATGATTTTAATGGAAATGGCCTTAAGTTGTACCTTTTTGAATGATGTTTACTGTCTTTATCATATGTAAATAGGTTCCTTCTATTACTATTTTAACTTTTACTAGTTGTGGCTACTAAATATTATTAAATTCTCTTTTAGTGTTAGTTGATATAATCATAACCTTTATTCTTATTGGTCTGATGAATTAGGCTGGTAGTTCTCTTCATACGGAAATATCTGGAATAAACCCTACTTGGTATAGGAGTCATTTGTTACACTGCTGCATTCACTTTGCCGATATCACTTTTAGATTTCTTTTACAATCTTTATTTATAACACGGACTGTTGGAACTGCCTGTGTCCACTTTCAGAACGAAGGTTATGCCAGCTTCGTAGAGTGAATGTGGGGCAGACATACCTCAGAGAGCTCTGGAAATGCCTGTCATCTAATGGGTGGCTCGGTCTTAGCTCCTCACCATACGGGCCTCTTTGCAATTGCTTGCATGGAAATTGGCCTGTTTTCTATTGTTTCTTCTAATTTATCTTTTCCTAGGTTCCATCCATTTCTTTTAACTTTTCTTTTCAAATTTGTTGTCATATAATTACTCTCTTTTTAAAAATCTGTAATCATAATTACTTTTTTTTTTTTAGAGTCACCTGTGCTGGAGGGCAGTGGTACAATCATAGCTCACTGCAGCCTCCAACTCCTGGGCTCAGTAAGCCTCCCGCCTCAGCCTTCCGAGCAGCTGGGACTACAGGTGCTGGTCAGTGCACCCAGCTAGAATTACTCTCTTTAAATGTGTCCTTTCTTATTCTGAATCTTGTATATGGTTGCTCTGTATTTTTTTCCCCATCAGCCTCATGAGGTGGTTATTTATTTTTTTGAGTCTTTCAAAGAACCAGATTTTGGATTCATCATCCTCTGTCTCTCATTTGCACGGGTCTTTTTTTTTTTGAGACAGAGTCTCACTCTTTTGCCCGGCTAGAGTGAGTGCCATGGCGTCAGCCTAGCTCACAGCAACCTCACACTCCTGGGCTCAAGCGATCCTCCTGCCTCAGCCTCCAGAGTAGCTGGGACTACAGGCATGCGCCACCATGCCCGGCTAATTTTTTCTATATATATTTTTAGTTGTCCGATTAATTTCTTTCTATTTTTAGTAGAGACGGGGTCTCGCTCTTGTTCAGGCTGGTTTCGAACTCCTGAGCTCAAACAATCCGCCCGCCTCGGCCTCCCAGAGAGCTAGGATTACAGGCGTGAGCCACTGTGCCCGGCCGCATGGGTCTTTATAGTCTGCAAAGTTGCCACTTTGAGGAGAGGAAAAAGACTCAGGGACATTTCGTGGCTTGCCCGAGGCCCAGCTGCCTGCTGGCAAGTGGCAGAGCTGGGATTCAGGCAGCCTGACTCCAGGCCACTCCAAGAGATCTCTGGGACAGGCTGCTTCCGAGCCCCTCCCCTGGGATCTCCCAGCAATGTCTTCTTCTCTTAGGTCACCTGTCCCTTTACCTGCTGCATCGGTTTCTTAGGCACAGGGCTTCTATCTGATGACAGGCGGGGAACTCCTCCGTGGGGACTTGCCCCTGGGAGCCTGGGGGAGCGTGGAATCTGGAACCAGATGGCCTGGCTTGAATCCCAGCTCTGCGGCTAACTGTGTGCACCTGTGCCTCGGTTTCCTTATCTGGGTAAAATGAGCAGCAGTAGCGCCCAGCACCTCAAAGCGCTGTGGCGATGATTACAGGAATAAAGATACGTCCTTGTCAGAAACGCCAGTGGCCCAATGTCCTTCAGAATCCAGAATTTTAGGATTTTAGCAGTATGTATACTTCGTTATGTGACATTACCCCACCCCCTAGCCGGGTCGGAGGCAACGTGATAATTTACGAACAGTAGCACTTCCGCAGGGACCCGCATGCACAGCACACTGAACAGGACACAGCCTGTAAATAGCCTCTCCTATTGGTGCAAAGAAGGTTTGTTTGCAGCCAATGAAGCTGCTGCATTTTTTTGAAATATGTAGCAGTTTTCAGCACTTTTTAGATTTCAGAATTGAGGGTTAGGGATTGTGGACGGTACAGGCTAACCCTCAGGACAGTTTCGGCGTGTGGTGAGTGCCTGACATATTCAGCTGCTATGGTGTCCACAGCACCCAGTGTCCGGTCCACAGACATCATTTGCTGAAGCTCATGTGCCCGTCACCCAGGGGGCCCCTGAGCATCCTCTCCACCCTCGTGGACCTATACCCAGTTCTGTCCTGCTCTGGCCCCTGCTGTCTGCACAGCAGCTCCCACAGTGTGGCAGCAGGCTGGTGCCAGGAACGGGGGGAGATGGAGCCCTGTGCCTGGCTGCCTCCCTGCCAGTCGCTTCCCTCCTCCTCCTCCCCAGTCCCTGGTGGACACGCGAACCCGCAGGCATGGATGGTGGCATCCCAGGACTGGCCCAGTCCCTGACATCAGCCCCCATGGTGCCCCTCGGTGGCCCGTCTCTAGCTCAGCTCACAGCTTCACCTGCCCGGGTCCCATCAGCATCTTGATTTGGGGTCCCCAGTCAGGGTGCTGGGTTGGGAGCGCAGAGTGTGATCCCAGGGCAGGTTCTGTGGGGGCAGGGAGCCCTACCTGGTGTGTTACTTTTCCTGTCCACGGAGGGCAAAGCCCTCAGCTTCAGCACCCTCCTTGGGGTCTCAAGGCAGCTGCCTCCTCCTCCTGCAGGTGCAGATGGAGCCACCCAGGAAGGTCCTCCCTGAGCCCGGGACCACTGCGGACTGAGCGCCTTAGAAAGGTGGGGAGCCAGGCAGCCTACCTGGATAGCAATGGGGACGATCTTGTTGGCCAAGTTCTTGTAGAGCAGGCAGATGGGAGCAGCCAGGAACTGGAGCGTGCAGGGGTCTGTTTTGTTGGCATCGATGCCATCCAGCAGCTCGAAGTCCACGATGAAGATGTTCCCTTGCTGCAGGAGGCAGAGAGACGTGTCCCAATCAGTTTCAGCAGCTGTGGACCCACGAGTCAGGCCTGGCGGGGGAGCATGATGACCTTTGCGGTCCCCCTTCCCCACAGCTCAGTGGAGCTCAGAGTTTCTAGTTCTTTTGTCCCCTGACTCCAAGGCAGAGTTACCCCGAGAGCTCTCCCAGGCTGTGGCAGGCGTGGGTAAGGTAACTCCACATTTGTTGTACCTGAAACCTGCTTGACCCTCATGAAAGAAATGGAAGGACCCTTCAGAGTGGCAGTCTAATAAGAAGTAGAGGCCGGGCGCGGTGGCTCACGCCTGTAATCCTAGCTCTCTGGGAGGCCGAGGCAGGCGGATTGTTTGAGCTCAGGAGTTCGAAACCAGCCTGAGCAAGAGCGAGACCCCGTCTCTACTAGAAATAGAAAGAAATTATCTGAACAACTAAAATATATATATAGAAAAAATTAGCCGGGCATGGTGGCGCATGCCCGTAGTCCCAGCTACTCTGGAGGCTGAGGCAGGAGGATCGCTTGAGCCCAGGAGTGTGAGGTTGCTGTGAGCTAGGCTGACGCCATGGCACTCACTCTAGCCCGGGCAACAGAGTGAGACTGTGTCTCAAAAAAAAAAAAAAAAAAAGAAGTAGAGGTTAGGAGAAATAGATGAGAAAAGTCAGATATCAAAAAGGGACGCTGCGGGTTCAAGACCGGGCAGACGCGGGCACCGCCAGAGCCAGGACCAGGGCCGGGCTCAGGAGGAAACGGCGGGAGGGGCGGGGCGGTCTGCAGGGTGGGGTGCTGTGGGCCTGCTCCAGAGGCTGGCGACAGGGAGGGTCACTTGGTGGCGGTGTGCTGACACTCCGCATCCGTGCCCTTTTCTGCAGCTGTTACGCTTCAGCACGAAACCAACAAGCCGTGGCGCGGGGAGGTGGCCGCCGCCCTCGAGACGGCGCCGTGGGTCCTGCGCGGGGGGGGCGCCGCCGGAGCTGAGGCTGGGGCAAGGCCGTCCTGTCCTTGCAAAGCCTTTTGTTTCCGTGTCCAGAGAGCGCCGGAGGCCCGGCTGGGGAGGCGTCGGGTCCGCGCCGTCGGGAGGCGTCACGAAGCAGCCACCTGCGCCCCCGCCGTGGAGCTCCGCGCCCTGGACCGCGGGGCCGGCTGGGCTCCCGGACGGGCCGGACCGCTGGACTCCGAGCGCGGACACGACCGTCAGGAGCGACGGGCCGCTCATGAGACCCTGGGGCGACCGCGGAAGGAGGCCCGGAGCCCAGGAGGCCGGGCCTCAGCGCGCTGGGGTGCAGGCCTTCCTTCCTGGGCGAGGGCGGCGTCGCTCGCTGGGGAAGGGGAACCTTGGTGGCCGTTACGACCTCCGCGGAAGGAGACAAACATCGCCAGAGCCCGGGGGTAGGAGCCGGACCGCGCCTTGGAGCCTGTGGGCCCAGCCGAGCTAGCACTTTGCTGTTTCCTGTTGCCTGAGCCTGTACGGTTCTTGGATTAAGCCAGATTGAGTTGATTTTTGTGATTTGAAACCGAAGAATCCTAATGTAAAGTCTAAGAACAAAAACAACCTTGAGCTGAAACAATGAATCAAAACTAACAACAGAGATAGAATTTTTCTATTCATATTCCAAGAAATGATTGCACAGATAAAGATTGAAAACAATTTAGGAGTTTTAGTAAGCCACAAATGCACCACAGATTGCTAAAGTGCTGCCGAAGACAGGTAGCGTGAGTGGCTGTGGGGTTAGGAATTGCTGTGCGGGGGTGTAAGAGTCTAGGCAGGGTGGGGAGGGCCAGCTCGAAGGAGACGAAACTCGCCTGCCCTGGAGGTGGCAGGGACTGCCCCGCGGGAGGCCATCACCCTGTCCGGGTGCTGAGAAGGGTCCCCTCCCTGGGCAGCTGGGCGCACCGAAGACTGCTCAGCGCCTTCCAGTTCTAGGATTTTATGGCTTTTAAGGTTCTATGATTCCGTGATTTGACGTTTGAAACCTACAGCTACCGAATCAGTGTTACTACACCTAGCAATGACGTCTACAGAAGAGCACTGCTCTGTGTGTGTGTTGTGTGTGTGTGTGTCGTTGTTAATGTCAGTTGTCCACATAGCCAGGTGCTGTTCTGGGGCTGGTCAGGCCCAGGAGCAGGGGGACAGGACTGCCTGCACTGGGGCAGGGGACCTGTCTGGGGAACTCAGCTGGGTGGTGGCCTCCAGAGTCAGGTGGGCAGCTTATTGGGGCTGGGAGGTTTATCGCCAGATGGCACCAACCACCCCTGTCTGGCTGGGACCTCCAGGCAAACTGGGCATGCAAGACAGGGTGACCAGAAGCAAGAGAGGCCACCTGGACACCTGGGGGCAGGTGGCTGGGGGCGGGTGGCTCGAGACACAGCTGTGCTGGCTCCAGTGGGAAGAGGCAGACTGATGGGAAACTGAGGCCAGTGCCTGTCGCTGAGTCCCACCAGATCCAGGTAGAGTCGGTTTGAACTCCTTTCTCAACACTAGGTCACCCTCGCAACTGGGGGTCGGGGTGCTGAGCCTACAGGTGAGGTTGGGGAGAAGGGGTGGGGACAGAGGGAGACAGGCGCAATGCCACCCACATTTCTAATTAGTCAAAAATTCTGCAAGGTTTCTCCCCACTCCTCCCTTTTCCGTTCTTACCTAAGGGCTGCTTCTTTCTCTAGTTTTCTCACCTTTGCAAGGTGGGTGGCAGTTTGATAACTGTGTGTGAAGCATCTGTCGCAATGCCTGGCCCATCACAGACCCCTAGTCAGGGGTAGCTCTGTGTAATTATTGATATTGACATTGAAAATACTGATATTATGTTCCCAGACACAAGCATTGTGGAGAAACATCCCCCTCAATTCCTCCTCTGACGTTGCACAAGACAGTTTGCATAATGCCCAGGACGCTGCCAGGAAAAGGAAGAGGCTGCTCCGGTGAGCACGGTCAATCTCGTGCTATCAGCTGGCCAGATGGGCCCGGAGTTGCTGTCCTGGCGTCCTGTGAGCACTGGCCAGCAGGAAGTGGCTTCCACCCGACAGAGTGTGGCCTTGGCCACATCCCCAGCCAGCCAATCCCTACCTGGACCTCCTGCTCCAAGCTGAGCTCCCGCTCCAGGCTGCATTCCACCATCTCTGTGGTCACCGGGAGCTTCTCAGGCAGCTGCGTGCAGCGCCGGATCAACACGGGGTTGCAGCCGTTCAGGAACTGGTAGCCGAACATGTCGTCTTCCTGCCAGCGCTTCATGACCCGCTCTGCGGGGAGAGGAGCAGGGCCCAGACTGAGCTCCGAGCAGAGGGTCGGGTCCCCCTGACCCTGCCTGAGAGCAGAGTTCCTGCCTGGTCTCCTCTCCCGGGTGCTCACTGGCCGGCTGGCCAGCCACAGGCTCCTCGCTGTGCCCCACTGCTGCCCCCCTGCCGGGCACTGTGTCAGACTGTGGCACCACCTTGTCTTCCCTGAGCTGGCCCTTAGTGGCTCAGGAAGCTGCCGGGTCACCCCTGTCTCAAGAACTTGGGTCCTTCAGCCCAGCGTGGAGGGGGCCAGGATAGAAGGGGGAGAACGGAGGGGAGTCCTGGGGGGAGTTTGCCAAGGCCGGCGCCCCCGTTCCTGCCTCCCTAGCATCCTTCCTGTGCACAACTGGCCGCTGCGATGCCAGTGCTCCAACCAACACGTCCCAGTCCAGAGAGACCCAAGGGAGCTTTCACGGAAATGCTTACAAACAAGCTAAGTTTTGCCTCTACTCTGTTCAGAAGCACCGCAAACGATGAATTTATGTCGAGAAACATTTCTGATATTTTTGAGACTTTTGATGAGGAAATGAGGTCGAGGGTGCTCAAGCTTGAATGTCCAAGGAGGGGAAACCTCTGGCATGAGAGTGGGCGTGAGGGTGACCACAGCGAGGCGAACGTGGGGTGCAGGGGTGCCAGACAGGGTGACACGGTGGTGAGGCCCGGGCATCGCGGTCCTGTGCCGCAGTGGGGCGGGGCAGCCCTTTCAATTTTCCGGCAAGCCCCAGACAGGAAAGTGGCATCCCCTCTCCCCGCTACCTCGAGAGCCCCCAGAGGCACGCTCACCGGAAATGGTGTTGCTGATCTTGACGAAGATTTTCTCAAAGTCAGCAAAGTCACTCCAGGACGACTGGAACATGTGCATGAAACGGTTGATGAACAGGTTCTCCATCCTGCAGGCCAGAACACAGGTCACCTCCACGCCGGCCTCTGCTCGGCCCTCACACCCAGGTCTCGTGTGCCTGCTCCCAATTCCCCTCCTGCCGCGCCCCGCCTGCGGAAGAGACCAGGCTGTCGCCCTCCAGAACAGGCGACGCGGCCTCGAATTCCATCCCGGCCTGTGTTCATTCATCCGCTCATTCATTCATCAGGCGTCTGCTGCCCCACTCAGGGGGCCAGCTGCTGAGCACACTTCCAGGGACGGCACCGTGTGTCCCGTGCAGCTGCTCTCCCGTTGCCTGGATTTTGGGGGGATGAATAGTTTAGTTGAGATGAACACTATTTACTTTCCGCTAACCCTGGCTCTGTGTCTGGTGCTGAGGGCACAAGGTTCCAAATGCCCATTACACGGGACAGCAAGATGGAAGCTAAAGGCAGGAGCTTGCTAAATTCAAAACGCAGGCTGCGGGGACCAAGGGAGTGGATGTTAGTAGCCTGAGCAATAATCCCAGGGGCTTCCTGGAGGAGGCGTCCAGGAAAGGAGAAGAGGGGAGAGGCTTCCCAGGCTTCCTGCAAGGCCCAAGCAGACTGCAGGACAGAGGCTTAGGAATTCCGGCTGGTGCTCACTGGGACACACTGCCTCAGTTTCTCCCTCTGGCACACACAGCTGAGAAAAACGAAAGTGACAGGCTATCCTGTCCCTCCCCACAGTCAGTGCTCGCTGCCCACTCCTCCAGCCCCGACTCTGGCTGCCCCAGCCTGTCCTCTGTGCCCCTTCTCTGCTATGGGCTGGATTGCGCCCCCACCCCGATTCATGTGCTGAAGCCCTAACCCCCAATGCGATGGCAGCAGGAGGTTATATGAGGTCCTGAGGGTGGGGCCCTCGTGATGGCGTTAGTGTCCTTGTAAGAAGAGACCAGAGAGACCTTGTTCATTCTCATTCTCTCTCTCTCTCTGTCTCTGCCACGTGAAGATGCGGCAAGAACACGGTGGGACGTCTGCCAGCCAGGACGGGGCCCTTGCCAGGAGCTGAACTGGCTGGCACCCGGATCTTGCACGCCAGCCTCCAGAACTGAGAGACAGATGTCTGTTGCTCAAGGCCCCTCCGCCCGTGGTGTTTTGACTTGGGCAGCAAGGCGGAGGGGCCGAAGGCCAGGAGCTCCTCGGACAAGCAGGAGACAAGGCCTCCCACGGCCCTGCCAGGCCCAGCAGGACACCGATGCCTGCTCACACAGGGCCACCTGGATCCCTCCTCAGGCAGCAAATGCTTCTCTCCTTGGAACTGGCCACGCGGGGTCCCCTAGGAGGCTGTGATGCTCAGGAGAGGGTCTTCGGGCCCAAGATCCCTGTGCGACAGGACGAGCCAGCCCTGCAGATGGCCCACGGGATGTGCTGCCAGCAGCTGCCGGGCACGGCCTGGGCAGGGTGGCCTCCTGACAGCTGCACACAGCAGGCGCTCGGCACTCCTGCTACAGCGGGCAGCCTGGCCCTGGAATGGCCCCAGCAAAGCTTTTCTCAGCCTTGCTGCCTCCTCCTCCCCCTGCACCCCTGGGACAGAAACCCTTGCCAAGCTGGAGGGCCGGAGGGGTAGACCTGTGGCGTCGGTGTCGGTCTGGGTGTGCAGGACTTATCTCTGGGAGAGGAGAGGCCTTCCCAGGCCCTGATCCCCGCAGGGTCTGAGGACGGTCTGGACCCAGGTGGTGCCCAGGGAAGAGGTCCTGTCCCGGCTGCCCGAGGTCCCAGCTGCCTGCTCACCCGGTTCTTGTGGGGAACTGGGAGTGAGCTACCATGCCCCCAGCTGGGTCTCTTTGACCTCAAAACAGAAGGCTGGCACTGAAATCAGGCTGGGCGTGGCAGTTCCTGAGGAAGCCACACATCCAGGAAGAAGTGAGTTGGGAGGAACATATTTGCATGTCACGTAGAGGCAAAATATTCCTGCGTGCTTACAGACGACGGGAATATTCGGGGCTTCGAAGGGCTGTTCTTGCACAAAGGAGGAACCTGCAGCCCAGGGAGGGCACCTCGCTCGTCCAAGGCCACACAGGCTGATAACGACATGGCCAGGAGGAGCCCTGATGGCCCAACTCCACGGCCTCCTCCCGAGCTGAGCCGTGGCCAGGGCTGGGCACAGCTGTTGGTTGCGGGGCGGGAGCGCTGCTTCCTCTGCCCCTGCCCCCTCCTCCTCTGACAGCTTCTCCACGTTCCATTTCACAGATTGCTGGGTAGGGTGCGGGAAGCCTAGTTGAGGAGGGCTGGCCTCCCTCCAGGCAGAGCAGGTGGCTCAGAGAAAACAAGTGGCCAGTTACCCAGAAATGGCATGGAAACCAAGCTGTCCAGAGCTGGAGGTTCAATGCGGAAGGCCTCTTTGGTGACCTCAGCCATGAGTTCCAGTTTTCTGCCAGTGGGCACCGAGTCTAACCTGGGGCAAAGTAGCACTGCCACGGCGTGAGCCATGGGGGCCGCAGCCTGGCCGTGGGTCTGGGGTCCTCCTTCTTCTGGGCCCGTTGGCGCAGAGTGGGCTGCCAGGCACGGGTGGGCAGTGCTTCCCCATCGGTCCATGGGAGGGCTGGACCAGAGGCTCTCAGAGCCCCCCACCCGCTCTGCCAGGTGCTGGGGTTTGGACACAAGAATCCTGGATGGGGCTGGGAGTCCACCCAGGCCTGGCGAGAGAGGGCAGCGGTGGGTGCAGGTCAGCGCGGAGCATCGAGGGCCTGGCCTGAAATCCTGGCCCTGTCACCTCCCAGCATGTAGCGCTGGGCAAGTCGCTTAACCTCACCGTTTCTCAGTGACCTCATCTGTGAAATGGGCATAATGAAGGCCCCTGTCTCACAGGGCTGACACAACGTACGAGTATAGAAAGCACTGGTACGTAAAAATAGTAAAACACATTAGCAACTACGCCCGTGATTATCGCTTCCTGTCAGTATTAAAGTGTGAGCCTGCCCATAGGTGGCGGCCTGCACACTGTCTGCCCTGGAGGTGCCCACAGAGGGGACGAGGGGTGGTGGGAACAGGGCCTTCCGACCGGAGACCGCTGCTTTCGGCTGAGGACACAGCCATGGCTGGCGTCTGGGGTCCTCCGTGTTGTGACCTTGTTGGGACATAGGCTGCCCTGTGGTCGCGCGCCAGGATGCACACCGCAGCCAAGACACGCTCACGCATGTCTGGGAAACGCCGCTCGGCGACGGCCCCGCGAGGAACGGAGGGAGGGTCCCGCTCCCAGCCCGGCCCTGGGGGTGCCCGGTGTCCTTAAGCGCTTGCAGACTTACGCTTTGGAGTAGTTCAGGACGAAGTCCACCCCCTTCTCGCTGTCAAACTGGATATCGCGGGGTAAGTCCTTGTGGCATTTGGCGTCAATGCTCAGAGGGAAGCCAGGGTTCCACTCCATCCACCTGGGCGGAGGAAGGAGAAGAAAACTGCATTAAATGCACGGGTTGGCCCTCAGGCAAAGGTGGTCCACCCTGTCCGACGACGGTGCGTGGCAAGGGCCCCTGGGCTGTTGAGTAGCAGGTCGACACATCCCGGGCCGACCCTGTGTCCAGCGAGGTGCTGGGACCCCTTCCCAGTTCTGGCGGCAGCATCGCGGTGGAGCCCTGAGACCGGGCTTGCCGCCGAGGCTTAGTGGGCCCATTTTTCCCCTGCTATAATTTGGATCAACTTGGAAAAAAAATAAAATCAAACATGTGGATTAGTAACACCGCAGTATGTAACACCTCGCTCCTCGGACACAATTCATCATGGCGACTAGTGTCTGGCACTGCATCCCCCACCCCTACCCCGGAGGCGCGCGCCTGCGCACGAAGAGTTCAGGGGGAAGCCCCAGGAGGGCGCCGACTAGAGCAGACACGCAGCGGCGACGCAGGCCTTGCCGGCCACCGGATGCGGAACCGGTAAAGGCTGCCCCGCCGCACCCGACCTGCACGCCCAGCGTCCTGCCGCCCGGCCCGTGCGCACCCCTGCGCCGCGTGCGTGTGCTGCAGGCGGCGCTCGGGGAGAGGGAGCAGTTCTCGTGCCTTCGCAGCCGGGCTCCAAGGCAGCAGGGGGCCTGGGCAAGGCCCCCCGGGCGCTGCCCGCTGACGGGCCGCCCTCTCGCCCCGCTGGCCGAGAGCACGTACAGAGACTGCGACAGTCAAAGCGGCTCCCTCCAAAGAGAAGCGGCGCCCTGCGTGCAGTGCAACGTTTAGCTTCCGGTGTCCTTGCCGCAGCATCCCGCGGCACTGGATGCTTACTTTTTAAAAATTTTTATTTTCCTTTTCTTTTTTATTTTGCTCATTCGCCAAACTTAAACAGTGAAAACAAAACAAAACAAAACAAAAAAACCTTGTTAGTTTCTTCGGGGAAGGGGCGATGATTTTTTGTTTGTTTAAATCTAAAATTTACATTCTGGGATTTCAGCTTTTTCGTTTATATTTCTCATTCTCCTTTCATTTTTATGTGTCTTTTGAGAGGATAGTAAAATATTGAGACTTTAAGTCATTGAAAACTCTTGAGCCCTTTTAATAGCACTTTGTACTTTCGCTGTCTCAAACATCCCCACTGTTCCCTGGTGTCCCATCGGCCCGTGGTCTCTCCTTAGGGTCGCAGGAAGTGAGCGGGAACCAGGTCTGACCGCTGCACGAGCAAACGCTCTCTGCAGAGCTTGCTGTCGTGCGGCCACTTACTGTCTCGCTGTTGTTTACTCGTAATATTCCACTTCCCCAGACTTTAAGAAAACTTTCTATTTTTGTTGTTTGTATTAACACAAGTGCTAGTACATTAACAAGGATAAAAATGTGGAGAAATGTACAAGTGATTTTTGCTTTAGAAATGACTCGAGGCATCTCCAATATATGTCTAAGATCGAGCCGGTCATTTGGTGGCCCCACTGGTAGTAATTATCAGTTGGTTAACTATCATTAGTCACATCGATTTAAATATTATTAATGATTTTCTCCTTGCCGCTGGGCAGTTCAAAGGCTCTAATTTTATGAGCTCAGTGAAGCTGGATTTTTTCAGTATGTAAACAATGAGCCCAAGGAGGACATCTGTGCCAGCAAATGGCACTAATGTTTTCTTAAGTGAAGAGTTTACCTGGAGAGACATGGGACACTCTTCCTCCGCACAGAAAAGACTCCCCGAGCCCTGGCCCAGCCTCTGGAGGACGGGCAGAGACGCCCCATGCGGGTGTTTTAGGGGACGATGGCCTCCCAGCACACAGACAGGGCAGTGGCCTCCTGAAACCAAACTCCTATGTCCCTTCCACTGCAGGTCACCACTGCCCGAGAGGCCCCGACGGGCTGGCCTGCACAGGAGCCAGAGGCCTTCGTACCCACAGACAGAGAGGGCGAAGGAAAACATCGCACTCCACTGAGGAAGACCAAGTGGAACGACCAGGTGGAAGTGAGGGAGAAGCAGAAAAGACACTTAATTTCTTTTCTAAAAAAATCGAGGTCGCAGAGCTGGACAAGAGGGGTCAAAGGGAGCACTGCATCGGCGGAAGTCCTGGAGGCAGCCTCCGCCGAGCAGCAGAAGGAAATGCAAGATAAAGGGACCAGCCGGGAGAAGGCTGCAGGAGCGACGTTTAAAGCAAGCTATCCTAATCCGGGACAAAAGCCTAGAGGTTCGGATTTCTCAAGGAAACGACGGCAGAAGGGGCAACAGCGTGTGGATTCTGGGAATTACAACGCAGCAAAAGCAAAAACGAAGAGCGAGCGGCTTCCCACTGCAGCCCGGATACGCCCCGCTGCGGACCTCCCTCAAGCGAAACCATCCCTTGCTGCCGGCAAGCGGGCTGTTGACCGAAAGAGCTAAACCACACGCATCTTCTAGCTCCCATATTCCCGTTATTTCTCCTTAATATGCTACTTAGCCTCTTTTTATTTCCTTTCATTCGCTAAGTCGTTTGAGACTGACAGCGTCGCAGGCAGCTGCAGCGTGTTCTGCGACTGTAAGGGAACACACACGTGTGGCGTTTTTGATTAGTCTAACGGTGCACTGACGAGAAGGACATGCTGGAACGCATAAGAAATCTACTCGAAAATAACAGTGTACGTTACCTAAGTGTGGGGCTGGTTCCAACAAGCAACAAGCAACTTTTACAACGACAATGTTTTGGCTTTCATTACTTCATCTTAATTACGGCTTTGCATGTTTCTCATATTTAATATCATTTCTATTGTATTAATCTCTTCTGTGCTTTCCCTTTGGGTTTTGTAGAGCAGAAGTGTAAGACCACAGGTTGGAAGAAGGTCACGTGTTTCAAATACTAGCAGATGGAGCTCTGAAAGATTTGTAGCTCTGTGCTTGAGCCTCGAATGGCCTTAACCCGGTCTCCGCTCCAGCAGCAGGACCTTGCTGGGGCTGCACTCGCCCGGCTGGTGTAGCCGGTGCGGCTCGCGCTGCGCAGCTCCGGGAGAAGCTGGTACATTTGCTCAGTCCGTGGCTTTAGAACACCTTTCGTTGGTGGAGATGTGAACAAGTGTGTATGTGCATTGACTGCTGAATTCACTTTTGTGCCATTTTTGCAAATACAATAGCTTTCTTTTTCTTATTGTTTTTATTACAGCATATTACGGGAGTACAAATGTTTAGGTTACGTATGTTGCCCTTCCCCCCCTCCCCCGTCAAGTCAGAGCTTTGTACAACCTATCAAAGGAAAAAAGAGAGAAAAATCTTAAGAGGATGCAATCGGTGCAATTAGAATGTAAGAAGACTTCCTGCAACCACAGAACATGATTTCTGACTTAAGAATTCAATAGAGAAACGGAGAAAGAGAATAGCTACCGTTAGATCTGATTGGTCTCCTTAGTTAAAAGAAAAACTTTAGACAAATTAAATTTAACGGAGCTTAACTGAGCAAAGAACGATTTGAGAATCGGCAGCCCCTCACCCAGAAGAGGTTCGGAGCAACCAGGGGCTGCCACGTGGTCGGAAAGCAGCTCTGGGCAGAAAAGGAGGGGGAGGTACAGACACAGCCGGCGGGGTCAGCGCGGCGTCTGCCTTACGGGACGCGGTTGGGACAGCTGGCTGCCCGTGCTTGGCTGGGACTCCGTGATTGCTGTGGGCAGGAGAGTAGGCACAGCCTGCCTGCGCGGCCTGTCAGGTCACAGTTCGCCGCGTGTAGAGAGACCTTTAGGCCAAACCTAAAATCTGTAAGGAGGCAGCTTTAGGCTACGCTTGATTTAACACCCGAGAGACAAAATTTGATCATTCAATAACTAATTATGGAGCACCTACTGTGTGCCAGGAAGTGCTCCGGGAGAAAGAGAAGAAAATGTAACCCAAAGACAGGGCAAAAGCACAGAAAAATTGAAGCCATGAATGAAACTGAGAGAGACACGAAAGCCAGAGATGGCAGATCTGATCTGAAAGACTCAGAGTTCTAAAGGCAGAGAGAGGCATATATGGAGAAGTGAAAAAAATCAGTAAAATAAAAGAAAAACGTCCTTAAGCTAAAAAAGATTTCAATTTCCTGAGTAAGTCCTAGGTAGGAAAGAAATGGGAAAAAAGACACACCTAGATATGCACTAATTAAATTTTAAAATGTCCAAGAGAGAGGAGAGTAACAGAGAAGAAAGAGAAAGGAAGAAAGAGAGGGAGGGAGGGAGAGAGAGAGACTCAGAAAAGAAAATTGATCGAACTAGCATTAGACTTTTCATTTGTCCTACAAAGGACAAAATGACAAAAATATAGGGGAAGTATTTGTGTAACATTGGGGTGGGGAGGACTTTCTTAAGCAAAGCAGGAAACGCCAAGGTTACAAAGGAAAAACAGTACCTACAGTTAAGAAACCAAAGAACTAGAATCTCGGGTGGCAAAAGCAACAGGAGACAAATGATAAAGGCTGACATGTACCAGAAGGACACTATCCTGCTATAGACAGTGCTCCTGGAGACTGATAATTAGAAGAGCCTGCAGAAAAATAAAGCATATAAATAGGCGATTCACAAAGAGGCAACGCAGTGCTGCTTAACTAACTTACCAGCGGCCGGGGCGATGCTGATTAAAACCACCACGGGGTCTTAGATTGCCAAACATGTATGAGGTCAAGCTTATCAGATGTTGGCAAAGGTATGCGTGAAAGTATCTTTTCATATGCAATTGGTGGGATTAAAAACTACTGTGCAATTTTGTAAAAGGATTTCCGTCAGTATTTCGTGAAATGAAAAATGCTGACTCGGTCCAGGAGTCCGAGTCTGGGAATGGATCTCCCAGCAGTTGAAGCGCCACCGTGTCAAGATGTTTGCGTGAGGTTGTTCGGGCAGCACTGTTGGCACAGCCGTGCCCCAGACAAACAAGCAAACACACACGTGGCAAACAGGGCAGTGGCTGAGTACGCGACGGCACGTCCACAGAAAGCGAGACGCGTAGCAATCTAAGAGGAAAACATGAGACACCATTTTATACAGGTGAG